TAACGGTAAGAATGACATATTCTTATACATATCTATATAATTAAAATTATAATAATAGTATAAGGGTGTATTTTAAACATTTAAAATACTTGGTGGTTTAATCTATTAATTAAACTATACTTAATTTAATTAAACTTAAACCATGTCTTTATGGAATTATTAACTCTTTTAATTAAACACTTTAATTAATTTAATGAAGTCCATAAAGCTTGAATTTTACCTTTAAAAAATTCTAAGAGTTCAATTTGGAATTAAAGTGTAAGGCTTTTCAAATTCCAAAACCTGAGGGAAAGAATTGAAACTATTCCAAGTCTCTTCAATTTGTAACTTATGAGTTTTAATGGTTCATAAAAATGAAGACTCTTCATTTTATGAAACCTCTTTAGTTCTTTAATCATAATTAAAAGAAGCGACTCTTAGTTATCCATAACTTGAGGACAAGTTATGGACACCATCATAGCCATTAAGATCATGAATTAAACACACATGGAGGTTACATATAATTCCTATGATCTTCTAAAAACTCATAAGAACACAAATTCATGTCAAGCAATTTCAAGAAATCATATAAACATATACAATACTTGAAAATTGATAAAAGTCATGTAAAATGGGTTAACATAATCATTATCATTTTGAAAAACAGATTTTACAAGTCCAAAACAGATTGGGATAATGATCTTAATCCATTTCCAGCAACAAAACTCGAAAAAAAAATTGCCCAGCACGCTCCTACTCGCCGAGTGCATTATTCTACTCGCCGAGTAGGATGAATTTGTTCATGGACTCAGCGAGTCCTCCCCATGGACTCGGCGAGTCCAGTCGTCAGAATGCAGAATTTTCGATTTTTAAGCAGTTTTGCATCAAGTATACAGAAAACAATCCTAGGCTCTGATACCACTGATGGGTTTTGAGCATTCTAACACTTCCTAAGTGTACATGCAACCCTAATAACCTTGAATCTATGTTTTCTCTATATACATGCAAATTTCTTTTTCAAGGTTATTTCCTAACTAGCATGGCATGGGGATTACATAAAACATAAAACTAGTAGAAATACATATCTTGTTGTTGCTTGGATTCCTTCAAGACTTTGTGAGCCTAGCACCCCAAATGTTGTGCCTCAAATGCTTCACACAACACCACAAGACTTGGAATAACTTGAGAGAATACTTCTAGCACTCAAAATCGGTTATGCCCTCTCTAGTAACCCTAGGTCACGATTTTGCTAGCCATAGGCTTCCTTTTATAGTGTTGTCACAATTAGGGTTTACACATGAATGCCCTTAATTGTCATGACTCTTGATTTCCCATGACCCATGGGTTTGTAACTCCCATGGACTATCCATGGAGCTCCATATGGTTATAACCAAACCCATAAACCATGGATCAGTAATCCACCATAAAAGAATTGATGATTGTCATAATCAACCCTATATATTTAATTAGTCTCACTTTGATCACCAAATTAATACTAGATTAATACTTGATCAATACTAATTAAATAATACTATTATTAATATATTAGAACTTATAATATATTAATAATCATAAGTGCCTTATTCTCTCATTTAGTCTATCCAAGTATTGCAATGCCATGCAACCCAAATGGACCATGCCGGGTCGGGTCAAGTTCATACCAAATAAAGTTATGGACTTAGACACTATATCCAACAATAAGTCTGGCTTACTCCATATATCGATCAGTCATCGAACTGAATTATCAATGTCCAGCCCTCAGTACAAGTCTGGCAAGCCAACCGGGTCCTCAGCTCGTATCTGGAATGCTATTGAGCCCTCAGTATGAGTCTGGAATGCCCCACCTGGCCCTCAGCTCATATCTGGATTGCTCCATTACGCTCAAGCCCTCAGTACGACTCCGGCATACCTACCGGGTCCTCAACTCGTATCTGGAATGCTATTGAGCCCTCAGTATGAGTTTGACATGCCATATCCGGCCCTCAGCTCATATCTGGAATGCCCCAGGGTTTGTTGGCTACAACACGGAGCAGTACAACCTCAACCCAACACAACATGCCGACATATAACATATAAACATATAAACAGTCTACAAGAAGACAGGCATATCTACAGATCACTACTCAATAATAAAATTGTAACATCCTGTTTCGGATCGTCCGTGATTTAAGGTTCGGAGGCTGCAACACGGGCATAAGGAAGCCTCGGGGCTGCGACGAGTTGCTAGAAGCGTATGGCTTCTCGTCACCTTTCCGTGGATATTAGGTTCATTGGAAACGAATTTATATCGAGGAAGCTATGGAAGTTTGAAGTTTTGACAAAAAAAAAAGTCCCCTAATTGAGAAATGTGGCATCTGAGTACGCTGGGTGTACGTGTGTGTGTACGCTTAGCATACTATTGTGCGTGACTTTTAAGCGAAGCCACCTAGTACGCTGGGCGTACTAGGCACAGAGTGAAAACCCTAATTTAGGGTGTGTCCCTATATAAAGGATATGATGGCCTCATTCCTGGCCACCATCTTCAGACAAACAACCCTCTAAAACCCCAATCCTCGTTCTTGAGCTTGTGTGTGTCCATTTGAGATCCTTTAAGTGATTTTGTGTGTTCTTGGAGTGAAGAAGGAGCTTTGGAGAAGGAGTGAGAGTCCATGCCTTGGATCTGAGCATATCCAAGTTCGGAGCTTCATCTATAGGTATAAAGCTCCTAGCTTTCTCACTCTTTTGTTTTGTGCATCATAGTAGAGTATTTTAGGGTTTTGTCCTAAAAGTTGGAGACTTCATGCGATATTTGAGCTCCAAAGACTATAATCAACCCCTTTGAGTGTATTTAGTGGTGTAGTGTCATAAAAATCAAGACTTGGATGTTGGAATCAAGCCATGCATGAGATATGTTCATTTTGAGTTGAGAAAATGAGAGTTTTGGGTGTTTGTGACTTTACCAGCCATGCAAAGGCTTAAAGTCACTGACTTTATGGAGTAAGAGCTATTAGGGAGTCCAGATCTGTGATATGAGCCAAGGTCTTAACTGATTAAGGGCAAATGAGTAGAAAGAGTGAAACTGGGACGTACACTGACGTAATTCCAGTACGCCTGACGTACTGACCAAGTGTCCCCGATAGCCATCTGGATTCGTGAGTACGCTGAGCGTACCAAGGGAGGTACGCCCCACGTAACCTCACTGTGGACTTTTGGGCTAAGTCTCATTTTGGGCCTTGAGTGTTGGCCTGGAGTTTGGGCTTGTTGTACTAGAGTTTTGGACCAGAGGAATATATATATATATATATATATATATATATATATATATATATATATATATATATATATATGTGTGTGTGTGTGTGTGTGTGTGTGTGCCTTGGGCCCTTGAGTTTGGTTTGTCGCTTGGAATTGAGAGTTGGGCCTCGGGAGATCCCATTTATTATTGGGCTTTGGTGGGTCCAATGAGTTTTAGGTTATTGATGGGCTAGTTAATGGACGACCTTTAGACCTAAAGAGTGAGGGTTTGGACTTATATCTTAATTGGGTAATTGTGGATCTTGGTCCAGTGTTAGAGACCAGTGTGCAGCAACAACATCTATAGGAGCTGTTAGAGACCGGAGGGTCCAGTGTTAGAGACCAGAGGGTCTTATGTGCTTATATTGAGTATTGTGATATCCTGCATTATGTCTTTGTGATTTATGTTGTGTATTATTCTGAGCTTACTGGGTTAGGACCGGAGGGTCCACCCGAGTTTTGGGACCGAAGGGTCCCATTGAGACACATTGACCGGAGGGTCTTATCTGAGTATAGCCATGAGAGGCTAATGAGATATGTGTGGTATTTTGGGGAACTCACTAAGCTTCGTGCTTACCGTGCTATGTGATATGTGTTTCAGGTTCTTCTCAGGACCGCGGGAAGGCGCCGACTTGATTGTACACACTAGATAAGGAGTTATGTTTTGAGGATCCTAGATTATTAATCAAACAATTATGGAGATGTGTTTTGTAAATTAAATAAATGGGATTTTTGTGAGATGTGTTGCCAGAATTATGTGATTTTAAAATGAAAATTTTGTTTGAAAATTTACGGTGTTACAAGTTGGTATCAGAGCCTTGGTTTGAGGGATTCAGATGCACCTTCGGGTATGTCTGGACTCAAACTGAGGATTTGAGAAAAAATTTCAAAAGAAATGATTTTTCTCAAATGAGCCAGAGTTTCTAAGAGAAAAACGAGAAGGAGAAGTGTGTACAATCAGCCAGAGCCCGAACGGTGATTTCCCAAAATACCTTTATTTATTTGTGTTGTGAGTTATTATTGAGATATTAGTGATGTATGCTAGAACACTACTAGAAAAACAGCCTTTTACGACGCGCAATGTGTGTTGTAAAACGCTCAGACGACGCGCAAATGTGTGTCAAGGAAGGCCCTGTCATAACGAGAGACGACACGCTTTCTCACGTCGTCTATAGACGACACACATTTACGACGCGCAGTTACGACACACATTTACGACGCTCATTTACGACACGCATTGCGTATCATTAAAGCCCCTGTCAAGAAAGGTCATGTCATAAATGAAGATGACACACCTTTTTACGTATCGTAATTTTAAATGTTTAAAAAAAATTATTTATAGATTTACTAATTTTCAAATTAAATTTGCATTTAATGTCTCATAATAGAAAATAAAATATCATATACAAAAAATACAATCCATTACATAAAATTTAATGTCATGCAAATAATCGTTCCATGGAAAGATAAAACAAATCAATAGAAGTTGTAACAGAAATTTACAAACTAATAGTTCTAATAACCTAATGTGTGTCTCACTGTACACAAGATTTGTGATGATTTTTTTAAATGTGTGCCTCACTTGTCTCCACTCTTCCTTAATAACACCACAAAAGGACTCTAAATCTATGAACTTGCTCACAGTATCTATATTGCCTGCAAAAAAAACATAACTACAAAATAAGTGTGAAGATGGATTATTACAGTGTAAGAGAAGTAAAGTCTTTCTTCAGCTGCAAAACCCTCCATCATATATACAGTGTACTTCCAATGCTTCCTTGGCTACAATAGCTGTCTGAACATCTAAAATTTATAATTTTTTTTAACATTTTACAAAATTATATTACATATAATAAGCTTCTCAACACTTGTTATCAAAAAAATTAATTAACTCTCACCAGGGTATTGAATTAGAGCTTGAGCTCCACTATTTTCGTCAAACATTGCTATCTTTAAAACAGGCCCAAAAGCAGAAAATACCTGTTTACAACATCTAAGGTGACTGCATACTGCATGTTTTCAATAGAAGCAAGAAGAACATTAGTCTCAGATTCAATCTTCTTTCCATCTAAACCTAAACTGAACTGCAAAAGTAACAAACTAGTAAGCATAATACAAGTATAAATATAAAATACAACAAAAAGTTGAGTAATTTTACAAAACAATCCTTCAAGCTGTTATAAAGAATAATGACTTTACCTGACCAGTAGCATTTATTGCTGAAGATGCAACAGGAAGCGTGGGATTTGTATAGTCCCTGAATAAATATAAAGCTTATTAGATTAGGGGCAAAACCGTCATAAAAAGAAATCAAGCCGGAAAGATATAAAATGCAACGAAATTATGTTAAAACCTCATCTTGTTTTTTTGTGTCAATAAAGAGAAAAAAGCAACTAAATTATTCAACAAACCACCAACTTGTTCAAGATCATCCTTCTTTTTGGGCTTCATCTTTCCAGAAAAGTTCTTCCTGTAAGGAAAAATTTCATCCTGCCACCCCACCACATGAACATCAATCACTAAAACTATATAATATAAATATAAATCTTACATAACACGGGTCCCACATGATGAATACAGACGTACATCTTTTAATGACTTCACAACATTATCATTTATAGAAAAGGATCCATCAGGTCGTGTGACACCGGTGAAATTCATCATCAAATAATAGTTAAACTACAAGAACTTGTTGACCACCTTCATAGCATCCGAGCTACTTTGCTTGGAACGTCTCTTCAGTAGTCCGGTCTGGGATCCCGATTTCTTATAAAGTTGGACCTTCTCTTGGAGGCTGATAAACAAGATCCCCCAGATTAATATCACACCCTACAAAAAAATTTACTCACATCATATAAGTCAAACCATTTAACAACAACAATATAAAATCACAGCAAAAGAAATTAAAACAGGAACAACAAAAAAAACTCAACAATAAAATCACAGCAACGGCAAAAAAAAACTAAAGAAAATGGGAAAACACAGGAACAAAATTAGAAAATACGCAATCATATAAACCATCTCAGCAAATCTCAACAAACATTAGCTAAAACTCAGCAAAAAATCCATAATTAGCTAATCGAAAAAAGTAGAAATAAAATGGGAAGAAATACTCACCTGGTCATCGGAAGAAAGTTGTTATCTATACCATAGTTGTTATGTATTGTTGCATCAAGAACCTTTTTGTTCTGTCCAGGATCTCCAATACCATTGTTGACCATGTAAGACCCTAAATGAAAGATCAATGGACTCAGTAAGATATTATATCTAAAAGGTCAAATGAATTTGATTAAGTTTTCATAATTTAAGAAGATGGAAGTGACCTGTGATCCATACCTTGGTAGATAAGCCCTTTCTCATGAAGCTTAATAAAGGCCTCTCAAATAGCTCCTTCAAAAGTCAAGAAGAAAGTAACTCAAGAAATGTTAGCTAATTAATGTTCTGATACAGATACTGAGTAAACATGTAGAGTTCAATACACATTTAGACCAAATAATAGCATACTTAACATTCATAATTAACTATTTAAAGTTTAAACATAGTTTATGAGATTATTAGGTTTATTATTAGGTTTCTGGGTAATGATTCCTCCATACTTCTCCTTCTACTCCCAAACTCGCTTTGTGAATTCCTCTCTACCCAATTCAACCCTCTTTATTCCTTCAGAATCCAACATTCTTTCAACAACTAACTGAAAACAATATTTGTTTGATATATAATATATTAACTAAGTAGATTAAGAATATAATAAGCATAAATCCATTTGTAGAAAAACTCAAACTTGAGTTGCAATGCCAGCATGATCAATTCTAAGGAGCCAGAGTGTAGGTCTGCCCTTCATCCTATTGTATCTGATCATAATATCCTAGACAACAATTACAGATATGAATGGCTTATAAATGAAGAAGAAATGACAAATTTTACAAAGATTTTATGTGCATCTATGTTGTTAGTAAAAATTTACCAAACCTCAAGAGTCACAAACATAGCATGTCGATCCCATGTGTAATGAACCAGTCACGTTTTGAGTGGAATTCTCCCTAATTTCTGAAAGCGATTTCATAAGTAAAATTGAATATATTTTCCAAAATGCACAACAGAAAGAGAAACACATATATGAAAACTTTGAATAGATTAACCATTCTATGAAACAAAGAAATGAGAATATAAATTCAAATAATATACCTGAAGAAAGTTAGTGTGATTAAACTTCCGCTGGTGGAGCACCACCAGTCGATGATAAAGCTGGGGGAATCGTGGGAGCCAGAGGTGGAATCACCAGTACCACAGGTAGGATTCCAACGACAGGTGCATGTGATAAAGCAATTGGTGTAGAGATCGAACTCGGGGATGGAACAGATATGGATGGCGACGAAGATTCTAGGGTTGGTGGTGGTGTAGCGGTGGGAGCTGCTGGTTTGAAAAATAACTCCACTGGAAGAAGAATGAAGGAGTTAAAAGAGCTTGAGGACGAGGGTATCAGGATGATTCTGTTTCCATATGTGAATAGGGTTTCAGCTTGTAAATGATGCTCGCTGGTGGCGGACATGATAGGAGATTAGGGTTTCAAAGTGTGTGAGTTGACCGAGGATGGCCACATAATCACATGCATGCTCTGGATTGGATCTCTCCTAGATCTTACACAATCTCATCGTCGTCGCGAGGCATTTGATCATGAAAGCAAGAGCAATTATGCTATGAAGACGAAGGCCCTAGGGCTTTTTCTTGCTAATTGGAAGATGCGGGGGGTTCTACTTTTTGGGATCCAATAGGCGGTGAAATCCCGCTTAAAACGTATGTTTCATTGAAAAATTATAAAGTGGCACACTTAGATGACACACATTTTATGAAAGGCGCCCTTCGCATTTTCATTTTTTTCTTTTCTGACACTAATTTTAGGGCACGCACAAATGTGTATCCTCTATCCTTCATATTTTGCAAAACTGACATTATCTTTTAGGGCATGCACAAATGTGTGTCCTCTATCAGCGCGTGTCATTGTTTGCGCGTCATTAAAGGGCTGTTTTCTAGTAGTGGAAGAAAGGCTAGGTATTTCATATTTTAGGGCTAGAGTTGCCTGATTTGTGATGCCTTAGCCTAGGAATTGTTGCTATCTGTGATGTGCTTTGAGTATGTGCGGAATAAGAGTATCAACATGAATCCTTTAGGGAGAACTTTGAGTAGAGGAGTAATCTAGGAGTGATACCTAGATAAGCATTGGAGGAGCCTTCTGAGGGAGTAGTTAGATACCCGCGGGGGGTAGGGTTGCTTGAGTTCGGTGATACCTTTTTAGTGCGAATAGAGCAAGTGGAGTTGTAAACTAGAGTGATTTTACATGTTGGTGGAGATTATTCGATGCTCGAATGTTGCTTGCTTTGTGCTTTGTGGAACTCTTCATGATGGGAGTCAGCTACTAAGTGAATATGACGATATTCAGGAGGTAGATGGCTGGAATCATAAGGAGTTATTCAGCAGCTAATGGCAGAGAAGTGTGAGAACCTGGGAAGAGCCTAAGGAGTGACTCTAGTCAGGAGAGTACGCTGATAGAGGAGAGTATTCGCTGGGTAGCGACCAGGTGTATCGGGAATGGTGATCGAGAAAGTTGAGCAGCTACTTAGAAAATATGGGACGATCCGTGTGGAAAATATGCGTAGATATGGCAGGTAGTGTGGGCCCGTACTACTGAAAGCAGAGGACCCGTACCCGAAACAGGGAGAATTCCAGAGGTTCTAAGTAGCAGATTGAGAGGTGATAACATAGTTCGAGTACCATGATTCGTAGCAGATTGAGAGGTGATAACATGGTTCGAGTACTGTGATTCGTGGCGGTAAGTGCTTCAGTTTACCGGTTATCCTGTTGTGATTAATCAGATATGACAGAGTGTGGGGCCTGAGGGCCATGTCGATCGAGTTTCAATGGAGCATACCTTGAGAGGGAAATCGGGTTAGTTCCGAGAGATTTTAGTGGTGAGATGCCAGTTAGAGTCGCCAGACACAGGGATGAGTAGAGATGACGCCTATTGGAAGATCGCGGTTTGAGTTGAGCAATCAACCGATAGAGGAGACGTCACCTTCTGTGACAAGAGTTGCGTTGTCCCCGTTTCCTGGGAGAAGTAAAAGAGATAATGAGCTTCCGGTTTCAGAGTTTGGAGGTAAACCCCGTGGGGTAGCTTGAGGTTGCAACCTTTTCACCAGAGTATTTGGGGCAGTATGTTTGCTGCGAGGTATTTCTTATACCATGAGAGAGTCATTAGTGGGACTAAGATGGAAGAGAACAAGGAGGTGCCTCATGGAGGGAGGCATACTTTTAGCAGCAGTTCCAGGTAATTAAGAGGAGTACATCGGGGCGGTGACCCTTATTATCTACGTTGTGTATCGACTGTGAGAGCGAGGTCTCTTGCTTTTTTGATGATTCATGTGATGGGAGGCTGGTCGAGGATTCAGAGACGAGGTGCGTGATAGTGCATTATTCCAGATTGAGAGTCAGGACTAATTCGGAACAGTTGGGGTATCCGGCGGTGTGTCGGTCTGAGTCTTCGAGATTACTAGAGGTAGTCACGTTGGACGGATTCTGAGATTTTGTCTGAGTTACGGGATATTTGGAGCTACGTGGTTTCCATCGGGAAGATCATTGATATGATTTCGTGGTACGTTCCAAGAGTCAAGTGTGATGTACCTGGTGAAACAGTGTATAGAGTAGATTGTTGGTATGCCAATTGGTGATGGTTCAAACCCCGAGTAGGGGAGAACTGGGTATTCTATTGAGAGGATCAGTGATCCGTTCAAGTACAGTTAGAGAACTAGTTATGGAGATCTGCGGTGCGGACACATGAGACCTGGGTTATTGGTGGATGAGGCAAGGTGCAAGGCTAGATGATGTATGTGTGTGTGCTTAAGAAAGGATGAGTGAATCCACAGCAGGTGGCCGATGGTCAGAGAATTTTATTGTGGCCAGGGATTTTTTGGGTTTGCAAATGTTGAGTTCGAGGCGGTTGGGGTCGCTGAGTTCAGGGTGCAATAGCTGAGATTTGCGGGGATAGGTATAGATTGTGATCTATACTCCAGGAAAGGCAACAGTTGTTTTGTCAACCAATTTCAAAGTCGGTATGAGTAGTTTCGTATGGGTGGTGATCAGTAGAGGATGGAGCTTCAGACTTTCGTCAACGTGTTTTTAGTCGTTGACAATTCCTTCGTGCTTCAATTTGTGAGATGGGATTATTTTGAGATTTCGAGTTGCGTGAGCGGAATATCAGTGGTTGAGGCAAGACATCGTGAGATGCTGTGATGGTGTACAGAGGTACCCGTGTATGATGTCCTAATTTCTGGTCATGATGAGACCCGAGTTGTGAGATGGCGAGTAGAGTACCGAGTGACTTTTGTTTCAGTGGGAACCCATCAGTTAATTGTCGCTGGAGTGGGACTGTATAAGGGTGTATCTGTGTTGAGAAAGGTGCCTTGCCTATGAGAACTTACATCAAGAGTGGTGGTGCATAAGTTGGGTGGGTGTAAGCACCTATTTATGTTGAGCTGCGGAGCATGAGATGGTGAACTCAGTGTAGTGATGACTTGATGAAGAGATTATGGGGTTACAAGAGAGCGAGTGGATCCGAGTGGGAGTAATCGCTTGGGATTATCGGGAAAAACCATGGAGTGAGCCCATGGTGAGTCAGTGAGCGAGAGAGTGTTGTGATACTACGGGGAGCCGTAGCATTCACGAGTCAGGGAGAGAGTGTCGTGATACTGCGGGGAGCCATAGTATTCACTGGTTAGTGAGAGAGTGTTGTGATATTGCGGGGAGCCATAGTATTCACTGGTTAGTGAGAGAGTGTTGTGATATTGCGGGGAGCCATAGTATTTACTGGTTAGCAAGAGAGTGTTGTGATACTGCGGGGAGCCGTAGTATTCACTGGTTAGCGAGAGAGTGTTGTGATACTGCGGGGATCCGTAGCATTCACGAGTTAGTGAGAGGGTGTCGTAAGTCTGCGGGGAACCGTAGAATTCATGAGTCAATAATGGAGCGTCTTAAGACTACGGGGGGAAACTGTAGCACTCAGTAGTCGATAAGAGGGAATATTGTTCAGCGACGATCCGTAGTATTCACTAGTCAAAGTATGACGCAGAGGAGTTCTTAGGCTTGAGTAGCCTTACCACTTGAGTCTTCGGGAACCTGGTTGCCGGAGCAGGGGCGAGTCTGGGGTCTCCATGACGGACGGGAATTGCTATATCCCGGGTTGAGGAGGGATTATCATAATCGGAGAGAATTGGAGAGATGGTGTGTAACAAATCGTTATTTCAAACCTATGTAATAGTATAGGTCAATGTGTAGTTCTTTTTATAATAATAAAGAGAAATTTTAGCATA